CGACCCTGCATATATGTGATATAGAATATCGCATAAAACTACAAATTCATCACAAAACTTCAATACGCTGATGACTGTGCTCTAGTTGCAAATACGTCACAGCAATTGCAAAAAATGTTGGTCACATATACCTGGGCATACGAGGCTTTGGGACTTAAGCTGAACATCGATAAAACTAAAATCATGTGCACCCCCCGGAAGATCACAACAATGCTATAAAAATCGGAGAAGAACTATTGGAATATTGTAGCGGAATTCAATTACCTCGGCAGTTTGATTTCGGAAAACGCCAATATCGACACTGAAATTCAGCACAGGATTAGTAGCGCCTCAAGAGCATTCTGGAAGACTTTTCTACAATCATGACTTGAACACAAAAAAGAAACTTGCAGTGTACCGAGCAATAATAATTTCCACCATGTTATATGGAAGCGAAACCTGGGTGCCGCGCCGTACCGCCGACACATGAACACATTAAACAAGTTGCAACAGAGACATTTTAGACAACTCTTAAGATTCAAATGGTTCCATCATCTCTCAAATGTATCTATCCTTCAAAAAGCTAACTGCGAGAGTATTGAAGTCATGGTTACAAAATCACGCTTGAGATGGTCTGGTCACGTATGCAGGAAAACCGCATACCAAAATCTTTACTTTACGGTGAGCTTGTAGACGGTAAGAGGAGGCCGGGTGGACAACTCAAAAGGTACAAGGATATTTTCCACGAAAACTTAAAGGGGATTAACATGCAGAATGAGTGGGAAGAAGCAGCTCATAATAGAACGGAATGGAGAAGAATTGTAAAGTCAGTTAAGAGCGACAACCAAAAAGTAAAGAGGCAACAAAGCAATGAGATTTTTGAATGTCCGGAGTGCGGTAGACAGATAACATCACGTATCGGTGTCCTTCTGATGCTTGTCAAATAATCGTCAGCGAGTAATGTCAGTAGTAATAGTAGTAGTAGTACAGAATATGAGGATTTTCGAAATTTTTTGATAACTCTATAATAAAAAAAAATATTTTTAAAACAAACTTTATCTGACATGACCCTATCGATAATCTGTAAAATCGATCGTATTGCGCATCTCTACTTTTAACTTCCCATCGTAAGACTTAAAAGTTGGATTAAATACAAAAAAGAGCGGGTGGGAACTTCTTCTTCGATTCTGCTTTTTCATCTCCTTTCTTTTAGTTCTTCTAAGTTTCGAGATTAGTTTTGGTTTGGTCGTAATAGGATTTCGGAGCAATAAATTTGCGGTCGAGGCACAGAATAGAAATTAAATTTCAGTTTGGAGAGTTAAAACAAATCCGAAAAATGTTTTCCCATCTATCCTCTACGATTTGGTTCGGCGGGATTTGTTAAACTAATTTTTCTAAGAAGTGTGTTGAATTTTTAACTTATGTTGTAGATTTTAAATTGTATGGAAGGGGGGATGTTAATCACCGCGAAATTATGGATCTATTATGTCACCCTTTCTTGAGTTATAACTCATCATATAGTCTCAGGGCTTTGACAAAAGCCAGTATCTGAGACGGTTTTATAGGGGTTAGTTCTCCATCTCCGATATCAGTCATACCAAAGTTTATGGTACGAATGGTTGTCGTCTGGACGCACTCAGTGATGAGATGTTCTGGTGTTCCCCATTCGCCTTTGTTTCTTAGCTTCAATCTACTGTTGTGTTCATTGAGGAGACAGTGTTCTGTTAAAAAACCTGAAGATTCTTACTTAAGAACTTAGAACCCGACAATCTGAAGATTGTTCTTACTTAAATCAAGGAAGAGCTTTGATTTTTCTCGGTCGTAAGTCCTGAGAAGTTTCTTCGAGTATCTTAGACCGTTGAAGAATTCCAATTTCAAATTACGGATGCAGTCTTCCAGGTTCTTGAGTTGTGCTTAAAGTTGGTTTCCACCTGGGAAACAGAACGAGCGTTTGCTATTTCATTATACTCTATCTCTTGGTGGGCTGGCACCCAGAATTGGAGGACTTTTCCTTTGCCTAATTTTAACGTATATTGTAGAAGAGATAAAAATTTCAAATACATGAGAACAAAGATGATTTTATTCTGTCACTGCTTTAGATATTTTTTTCTAATTCTATGTATATCCAAAATTGTTGTATATACCGGGTGCGTCTCAAAAGTTCACCCCTATAACTTTTTTATTTTTTTTTAGATAAAAAGAAACGAGATGTTAGTATGACATAAATTAGCATTGATTAACGTATTCAATTGTTTTTGGTCACTTTCTGTTTCACCGGAAATGACCACAACTTTTGATAGAATAAATACGGTATTTTGAGGGATAAATTAGATTTTTCAGCATATTTCGTAAATCTATCCGTTACAGTTAGAACGTTATTGATGTAACTTAAGATTCTCATTCTTTATGTTCACATTTCCAGTATATTCTTAATTTCTTGTCCAAAATTTTCTTTACTTATAAAAAATTAAAAATGTACTAGAAGCTGCTGTTCTTGGAGATATAAATGGAGCGGAAATAAGATGCTATTTTACATATTTTAAATAATAGAGTAGACGCTATTGAATATCGGCTTGAGTTTTACGGATATTTTAGTTTAAATAATACACATGAGTGATCCATGAGAAAGATACTTTACTTGAATTTTGAGATGTACTAAAAAAAGATGACTAGATTACTAGACCAAACTAGACTAGCATTGCCTTAAACACACATCAAAATAAATTACATTGCTTGTTCCTGACCGTATTATACCGAATGATCGAAAAAACGACGTCTAGTTGGCTTGGAAATGGACATCGATTACATTACCCATATAACTTTACATATAAAATGACTATTCTGATGCGATCTTCATTTCATAGCCATTGCTGACGCAAGTTTTTTTCATTCATACGGTACCTAGAGTAGGAGAACATAATCAGCTTTGCCTAAAAACCGGTACCGAAATCGTTTTATACAGGTTTTTTGATTTTTATATTATCATGAATCTATTTTTCTGTATTGATTGCAACCGGTCTTTCGGGATCAATTTAAACCGGTCTTCCGGTACCGGTACCGAAACTGGTATACCGGTCTTGTACAAGACGATACCGATACCGGAATATTTCAAAAGTACCGGTCCTGGTACCGGTATACCGGAAAATCGAACATACTTTTGAGACGCACCCGGTATAATATAGCCATGTGCATAACGTTTCCTATTGGTCAGTGTCACCACCAATTTTATGTCCCTCTGTAGAAATAGTGGAAATATTGACTAATATTGAAATATTCAGTGGCGGTGTTATAGTATTGTATTTTATACCTTTAACTTGATTTGTACACATTATAATTAGTACATGCTTTCTAAAGGTTAATTATTCTCACTATACCTTCCGTTTCTATTCCAAATACGTTCCGTATTTTTATTGTATTGACGCTATAGGTAAGCTTCTGTTCCGTATCAGTTCCATACTTTCTATTGTACAATTTATATCATTACAAAAGTTTTATTTTAAAAATTTGTATCTTTTAAAAAAGGTAGTATATTTAATTAAGAGGCGAAAGAATAAATAAATATAAGCAAAATTTTAACAGAGCTGGTACAAATGTAAGAACTTGACAACGCTGTTTCCGATACGCTTCAGTCCGTCCGGCAAAAAAATGTATGGAAGGAAAGGATATGGAACGGAAGAGAAACGAAACGGATAGTGTGCATTGTCCTATTCATTTACATGATATAATATTTTATGTAAACGGAAGGGAAACGGAAGGGAGCTGATATGGAAGGTATAGTGAGAATCAACCTTAAAAAATATTACTATATTTAGCTTATTATTATTTTGGAAAGAATATTATAAAGTTTACTGGAAAATATTATAGAAATTCCTGAAATATTTAAATAAAACACACCGCACGCCCCTATACCGTGCCGGCAACTGTTACTTGTTGATACTTATTGTTACTGAGTCGATACTTACATGTGTGGAAGTAAATCGCATAGGGGTCTTATTAAGTTGGAGTGAGAGAAATTCGACGGTGGTGCTGATGCGGCGTTGCCGGTACGTCTTTCCCTATCAAGTAAAGTAAAATCACGATCGCAAACCGCTTATTTTTGAACGATTTTTTTTTAGTAAAGATAACTAGATAAAATCCTTAGATATGTTTCTGAGCATCTGAAATGGAATTATAAGGATATCGTTAAGGTGTCCATTTTTTTATAACGATAAAACGTCAGTAATCGCGATAATTTTAAAACTTAACTTTTAACTGTTAACACGCCATAACTTAAGAAGCAGTTTAGACATCGAAACTTTTTTTCTTTTGAAAATCAAGTCTTTTACAATATGTTTAAATAAGGAAAATTCGATAAGGTTGTTTTTTTCCATTCAAAAATTTTAAACAACCCATCCATTTACTTTTAGTGTATATCAATTTTCAGCAATCGTGTAACTTTTCTATTTATCAAGATTTTCACATACTGTCTGCGAAGAAAATATAGCAGAAATGTTATAAAAGTTTTTAAAAAAAACTACAATCAATTATTTTTAATAGATTTCGAGATATCGATTTATAGTATCGACTTAATAGCGCGCCCACTGTCGAACACCAACTCAATTCCATTGATTTTTAACAAAAATGCAAGTGTTTCTAACTTGCACTTAAAAATGTTCAAGCAATAGGGAAAATTACAACGACTCGTTAATAAATAAATAAATAAAGTATCGCAAATCGCGAATCTGAACGCATTACTTACATTGCTCGCTAGAAGTTTAAGTAGTGACAGAGGTACTGATTGGGTCGACCGATCGACTGCGACAAATCTGCTATATTTCCTTCCACGTCTTTTAGCAATGTGCACAGTTTCTCGATTTTTTTCATACATTTGGCAACATGTTTACTGTTCTCTCTCTGTTCAGTACCTTATAAACGCATTGTACTCTTCTTACACACGGAAATCTCGACCCAAGACTAACCTTTGCCAGCCCTTAGTATATTTTATGAAAATTTCTGTTTTCAGTAAAATATGTAATATTTATATGGGCTGCCTGGAAGCTATAAAATCTCCCAAAAAACAGCGACGGACTTGGAAGGTTCCTTTTTTTTCCATTTAATCGAAACTTTAAAAACTGGCCATCGAGAAGTTTAGCGTTGGCAACACCACTTTAATCGACCGTTTCGATTCTTCAAATATAAGTTATATGGAGTCCGTGACCGGAATTTAGGGCCAGAACTTGAGTCCGAGGGCTGCGGCAGCCGATGGAGAAGGATAGTTTTGAGCCCGTTTCTGTGCCAGATGTTCAAGAACTTTCCATAGGGGGTGAGTAGGGAGGGATCTATATTGGGGGAGTATCGATATTTAGAACAATAACGGTATTTTTACTATGGATATTCTAAATATCGATACTTAATAATCATTTATTTATTTGGTGTGATTTTCTATGTAATAGATTAATAAATTAGCAATTTAAGTTTTTTGAAATTAGCAATTATAGTTTTCCATCGTTTTTCCCAAACAAAGGAATGTTACAATTTAAAAAGTATCTATATTACAATTAAGATATTCGATATCGATATTTAGGGTCTATTTATTTTTTCATATTTTTTTACACACTTACACCGGACATCATAAGAAAACTGCAGGTCGCACAACGCCCAATGCAACGAAATATACTGGGAATAACCAAGAGAGACCGTAAAAGGGGATAGGAATAGAGTGGGATAGTCTGACATTCTTTTTCACAGAAATTTGGAGAACGAATAAAAATTTTAAATTTGATAAAAGTTTTTTCGTTTATGTTTTACTTGTTTTGAAAATATAAAACAATGACAGTTTTTACATTTTTTTTATTGGATTTACCTTTTGATTGTAAGTAAAATAGTGTCCAAAATTCGGAGAGAAGTACTCTTTACTCTCTCGAAATATTTAGTTAATCTATCGGCAGTAATGAGCATTTTCTTATACTTTATATGTTTATCCATATGTAATATCCACTTTATTAATGTACACAATTTTTAGATAAAAATGCTCTAATTGCTCATATATTTGATATCAAAACAAATATGGCTATAATGCTTGACCACATAATTGAGATGAAGAACCTCGTTTCATGCAAACAAGAATTCGGAGGTGATGATCTATTACCCAAATTTCCTATAAACAGTATACGTGACTTAATAGATATTGACAAATACCTATCTGAAAATGAAGTTGTTGCAAAGCAAATGGTAAGTACCTACTTTGTAAAACTAAAACTAACTCGCGCTTAAGAAGATTTCTCTTTAATCTAAACGTGAGTTATTTTATAAAGAGGTCTATTTAATATTTAAAATATCATTCGATCGAAAAAAAAAATGGCGTCAAAGAGGGCTGGTACTGGGGAATGACAATCGAGATCAAGTCCTTGACTTCATTTATTTGGCTCGTACTCTTCTTTATTTTATAATAACGCTTACTGTCAGTTGGTCTTAAGAAGGTTCTAATTTATTTTAATATTAAGTAAAAATTAAAGAGTAAATAAAGTATTCATTTCTATGTTTTTAGGGTCATTTTATATACAATATAGGAGGTAAAAATTCGAAAGATGCTGTATACCGTGCCTTAGAACGACTGTATACCAACTACATTGGTCAATATATCTCCTGGACCGGAGCCAAAGGAAACTTTAAAATAAAAGACATGAAGCTCACTGCAATCATGAGAGGTAAGTTCTCCAAATTATAGGTGGTTTTATTCTAATTTTTTACTGTGCTACTTAAGGAATAATTCTATAACCAAGCCTTTTTAATATTCTTTTTAATAAATGAATGTATATAGTTAGACCTATGCAAATTTTGAAAAGGTCAAATATTATCTTCACAGATAATTTTATGCAATGTATTGTTACTAATGATGGTATAACTCAAGCGAGAATTCGCTCGAGTACTCGATTATTGAAATACCCGAACGAGCGATGCAAGTGACAAAATTTTACGATCTACATCGACAATGCTTTGAAATAAACTAACTCAAGCGATCAAGCGAAGCGCTTGCTACTTGCCATTCATCACCGAAAGAATATGTGCCCCGCGCACGCAACTTACTGCTTGGCGCTTGGCGTTAGCGAGTACTTACAATAAGCGACGGTCGAACAACCGTATTTTTAAATACGAGCGATATTTCGCTCGAGTGATCGCTCGATTATTGCAATCGCTTGAAACTCGAGTACTCGATTATTTAAATTAATCGGCTTTTCCCGTCACTAATTGTTACTAATTTGAAGGTAGATTTTTGCAAATAACTTTCAGATACCTATACGAAATAAAACAAAATTCAAGACTAAAGTAAAACTTTAACGCCTCTTCAAAAAAGTGTAATACAATTTTTGCATAAAATTATCTGGGGAGATATTTTGAAAATTTACATGGCATTTCCTATGTCCTGTGTTCTGATGCACCACACGGTACATATCTAAGATTAATATATTGAAAAAGAATGTCTAGTAACACTGTTAGAACACAATCATGTTGATATTATTTGTAAATTAATTCTACAAAAAGTTTAATCTTAATTTTTACTATTCTAGAAGTAATAAGGCAGAGATTTGAAAACGTCACCGATATGGAATTTGAAAGTATGACCAAATCATGGTTTCAGCATGCGAAGACAAGATACGAAAGAACTAAAAAATAAATTATGGTTTTGTCTTTTTCGTATTATGTATTACTCTTTTACCTTATTTCTTTAATAGAAATATAAGAATGTTTACAAGGAGCGTTATCTTTTATTCTAAACATTCCAGTTTCTACACAAGAGTTATTAAGTCATGCATATGAGTTGTAAATCAATGTTTTTAAATGAACTGTTGCCAAAATCTCTCAGAATTAGTGATAAACCACAAAAAGAAAACCCAAAAGGAACTGCTCTTTGGGATTTAATCACTAATCTAAACAAAATTTATTCGAAAAATTAGATTAGCTGATTGGTCCATTTCACGATGAGGCAAATAATCGCTAGAAAATAACATTATTTATTTAAGATTTTGGACACGTGTTCGAGAAAATTCGCCTGTGCAAGTTGTCTTAATTTCATATTAATTGGATTCCTAACTAGAGCCGAACTAATTCAAAGTGTGAGAAGCAATTATATCGCGGCCTGTGTAGCGGGAGAGTGATTAGGGTATACCGCATCTTATAACGGCATTATTAGGGCCCTTGTCGAAAAATTTTGTTCGATATTACTTCAGAAACCCATTCCTAATTAAAACTGTAAAACAATAGTTTTCATTAATTAATAAAAGATTGATTATGAATTTCCATTGATGTGTAAAGTAAGTCAAGTATTTTAAGTTAACTCCTTTTTGCTGCTAAGGCTAATCTGGACGGGACCTATCATTGTCAATTAGGGTTTCTGGAACCGGAGCTGTTTTTTGGAACCGAGAATTTCGGTATCGTGCCTATCAGAAATCGAAATTTCCCGTTTTTTTTTGGTACGTTCGGTACTGACTAATTTTTGTCCGATGGTGGTGCAGTTCATCAATCAGAAATCAAGGGATGGTTTGTCAAAGTATACATGAAAAAATTATCATAAAGTAAAGAAAAAGGTATAGGTAACTTAAATTTCACATCAAACAACATAAACCAACTTAACTGAATTTGAGACAAAAGACAAAAGCCCTAAAATATTGAATTAAAAATGCAAACATTTTTTAAAACATAACATAATAAATATTATAGGAACTTCAAAAAAGAAAAGAAACAAGAACAATATGAAATAGCATCATTACTTATTTAGAAGAGTCTGATTTAGATCGCTAGAAAGTATCAAAGGACTTTCTCACGTAACAAAAAAATAATTTTTTAATTATTGTTACCGAGGCCCAGCTTTGTGATGGCAAAAAAGATCTGAACTCTAATTGGTACTATTAATTAGAGTTTCCAGAACCGATGGTTCTCAAAAGTAAAACCGATAAAAAATTGAAGATCAAATGAAAATAATATCAAATTATTAAGTCATGAGAAAGTAAACATGAACACGAATAATGAACACAAGCGAAAAAAAAAAGAAAAAACATAGGTAGACAAACAAATTACATCAAACAGCATCAACCAACCTCGAAACCAACTTAACTAAATTAAAAAAAAACTTAACATTTTCAATTTAACATCATCAATCAAGATGCAAATGCCAAATGACTCTAAAAACATAACAAACATAACACAAAAAAATATAACTAATACATTCAGCAATATTATAATAAATAATAAAATAACATAATATTGAGACTACAATAATTGGTAATAAACATTATAGAAACTTCAGAAGTTGCTACTTATTTAGAAGAGTTTTGATTTCGACCGCTAAAAAGTATCAAAAGTCTTTCGCACGTAACAAAAAATATGTTTTTAGTTATTACTACCGCATCCCGAAAGTATCGAAAAAACCGGGAATTAATAATTTCGAGTCCCGGTTCTTTCATGTCTCAAAAGAACCGGGAATTTCCGGTATAATCTCTATCAATTTAGCGAGTGTCTAAATCGTTCCTACTCACGAGATACCCGATCACATCCGGCCTCGAACCGGCGTGAATGAGCAGTGTGAGTTAGAGGTGTGTAGTTCGTGAGCGAACTAGTTCCAATGAACTATTCCGACCCCGGATCGAAGTAAGAAATATCTTATAAAACGAAGTAGGTAGTCTGAAGTAAAGATCTAGTTCCTCTTAAGGAATTAGAATTCTCACCTCTAGTGTGAGTCAATAGATTTTACACTCTTGCCATGGAACAGAGTTTTCAGACGGTCATCCGTCCATCCACTTACATCGTCTAACGTTGCTGAACTTCTGTGAGCTATCGGGAACCCGTGTTCTGCTGATTTTGTTTAATGGAAACAATTTGAATTATTTCTAACGGAAACTATAATTATGTAACTAAATTTTCTAACTTTATAACCAATCTTTTTTAATTTGCGTTTTCACAAATCATTGTATTTCTATTTATAAACAAAAATGAAAATGCAAACAATTTTGCTAAAACTCTAAGTATTATTCTGTCCATTGCACTCATAAAATACTTATATATATAGACGTAAAAAATAGATACAGTCAACTGTCTCTTTACGAAACTGATACATATTTAATGGATGTTAAGATCACGTCTACATGCAAGGGTGCAATTTTATGCCGTTGATGCTCGCAAACAGCCTAAGGGTTTAACGGAATAAGCAAAACTGAAAACAAAATAAGATGAAAAAAGCATCCATCGTCATCAAAGAAGCGGGCAGTTTTGTTTCTTGAATACTTAGTTCTATCTAAAGAACAACCGCCTAGCAAAATATTGTAACAGTCAAATTTCCTCGCAACGACCTCTGTGTGCTAGCTCATAAAATATCGCAAATAGCTATTATTTTTGCATCATGTTTACTATAATTTTATTATTAAATATTATTTTATTTAAATTTTACAATTATGCAACCCGATATACACCGCGATATTATTCAGCTACACATTATTGTCACTGATGCCGACCAGCAGTAGGCTTTTTGTCCATCTTTTTATATCTTTGATCATCACTTGTCACTTGTCACTGTCAGATCAAATCAGATGTTTTTGGATTTATCCTTTGTTCTGGTTATTGAAATTTTATAATTATCAGATAAAATTTCGTAGTTAAATTGGTTATTTTTGATGTGGATCGCAGTATGCAATTATGCATTTAATTGTGGAATTTTTGAGTTAAGTTCGTTCATTGACCGGATATGAAATATGGCTGTCGAAAAATATTCTAAAACATCATTTTTTATTTATGCCTTTTTGTGAGTTGGACTAGTCAAAATATATAGTTCTCTATCTATATCCTGGAGGGAGATTTCCGGTTGAAATCTGATTTTGTGAAGGAAATCGAATCCTTGCATCACTTCTTGTGTACTCCCCGGCTGAAGAGTGTCGTCGTGAAGAACTGGTTGCCGATTCGTGAAGCATTCCCTGTTGGTGAATAGCAGGTCTTCGTAAAGAAGGATTAAGGCTTCCGAAACACATTTGGTCAGAGACGTGGTTAGATTTTGTTGAGTTTACATGGACTACCGACCAATTTCCGCAATGAAATTAAAATAGCCAAATTTTCCGACCGATATTCCGATTCCACGTGCCCAAGAAGTCCCCGAATAGTTCCAAGGTATGCTATAATTCTTCTGCCTATTCTAAATCAATGCTCAACTGATTTTTATTCGTATTGTTGACTGGTTTTCGACTTTTCCACGCCCACGTGGTATAGAAAGATTAGTTGAGTGTTATCTTTCTTAAGTCTTATTTGGTTGTTCGTAATTGTAGAGCAAGAAGACCGATCCAGACTGTAGCACAGAACAGTCCAGAATTTCATCCGTTCCTGTTGTCCGTATAGAGGTACTCGTTGGACATCATAAACCCTCGTTGAGGTAAAGTTCAGATTTGATTAATCTTTCTTTATTACCTTTATTAACTCCTACACCTTGTTCTATAATCGAGGCTCTTTTCTAAGACAACCAATATTATTTAGGGTTTTTATGTTCATCAATTGAAACCTCACCAACTTGCCTTTCGTCTGTACCTCTGCTAACATCCGTGGGCTCCAGTGACAGTACACCGAGCTGCTGTACCCTGCTGTAGCCACCCCATAGCTATACACCGTAGCTCAGCTGGAGGAACTTCCGAGTTGTTTCAAGATTGTACATCGATTAGAGTAAGACTGTTTAGATTTAGATTTGCTATATGTAAACCACCCTGGTTGTATCTAGTGTTAAGTTAGATAAGGGGGTTTGACGCCTTAGTTTTAGTATAGTTAAGAACATTTTCATTTTGCATTCATATCTAGTAATTCTTATCGATTTAAATTTCTTAACACATTTCATTCATTTCTTTATAAAACTTTTAATATTTTAATAAATTGCTTAAATATTTTTAGTAGTATTATTTGCAGTCTAGTCTCATAGTTAAGTTAGAGTCACTTAAGTTCAAGTAATTATAGTATATTTGAAGTTCATGGTAGTTACACTCAACAGTTCGAGGTTAGTGTTGAAGTCTACTTAATAGTAACATCTTTTATGCCGACTTCATAGAGTATAATCTCGTGGCGCCCTTTTATTAATATCTTTGAACCCCGACCACCCGGCTGTTAAAATTAAAAAGCTAGTGGCCTCTATGTAACTCATTCTGCATTAAGTAAACTTGTCTTTTATTGAACTTCGAATTAGAAAGGGTGTGGCAATATACAGGGTGGGTCAATGGAAACTTTCCACCCCAATTTTTCTCGTTTAAAATTAAAATTTGGAAAAACGCTCGGACACGTCGATTTAGTTTTCGAGGGGGAAAAGAAAATATCATAAAATCACTTTCATACCTATAAACTCCAAGGCGGGGGCGGCGCCACCCCTAAATTCTTAAATGGAAAGGGGGGCCGAGTGATACCTCATGTGTGAAAGGTCTTTCAATTCCATTTTTAATGATATAACATCATGTACTTTCGTTCAGTAGTTTTAGAGATTTATTGATTTAAAGTAGATTTTAATTTATCAACTAAATGGTGAAAAAATCGGTTTTTGGTTTTTTTCTCTCTCTGTATGTATTTTTTTGGCAAACTATGTATACTAAAAGTTTTAACTAATGCATCGATCCACGCCCAAAAATCTTTCAATTCGGAATAAGTGAAAAATGCTCAATTTTGGCCGGAAAATTTTTTAGAAATTTTAAAAAATAAAAAAAATTAAGCTTTTTTATTTAAAAGCTTAATTTTTAGTATACAT